TTTTGGATTTTTGTTTTCATTCCTACTTAAAGATGCCACAAGTGACAACAGAGAATGGTTGAATTTTTCCAACCTCCCAAGAAACATTGGATATAATCAGCAGTGATGTGACTTCTTTTGTGTTTCCACTGCTTTTGGCCACGTCCAATGTCATATCATCATCTAAGTAGTGGCAAACCCGCAATTTCTTTCTTGGTATAGAGGTTACTTCCCAATCTTCATTGTTCAGTCCTGTGGAGTTGAATGTTGCTAATGTAGCTAAATCCAGTAATAATACCATCCCATGATAGTCCCCAGTATTGGATTTTGAATCTTGTCTCTTGCGACTAGTATTACTATCATTGTCATTATTGTTACTATTATTATCATTGTTATTCCTACTATCACTATCCATTAGTGTTACTATTGTTACTACATACATTTACATACTACTACTATTATTACCATTATTATACATTAGTAAATTAGTGTTCCTATTATATCCTATTTTTTTTATACCTTTTTTGGAAGTAAAGTTTTCCAGTTGCATTCCTACTCATCCCCTGAAATGTCACCGATGGGCATCCAATCACATCGGCTCCTCGATTCGAGGTTTGTACACTGAGAAGGCGATCGGCCCTTGCTGCGGTGACCTTTCGATGGATTTAGATTTAATGGGAGATTGAAGCACGATACATATACAGTATATATATATATAATTATATATATATGTAAATAGATATATATATATATATATGTACATAACCAACAATAGCTTTTGTTTTTGTAATATTTGGATGTGATTAAGAATGGGGGATGGACCTCAATTTTTGCCGATTTGATTGGAGAATATGAGAATCAATCAGTGGATTTAGGCCATGATTTACTCTTGAACAACCTCGAATGGTTGTAGAGTCCTACTCAGCAAGTGCTGTGATGGCACACCTGTATTTGGTTCTGACACCTCTGCGATTGAATAGAGATAAAAATACATGAATCTCTCTCTCTCTCTATATATGTACACATTATACTTTATCTGGCAGTTTATATGCATAAGAACTATATAGAATGAATCCATATATAGATAGCACACATGAGGAACTGACAGTATTGTGGATTTACATAATTGGCCACGCAAGGGGTTGAAAAAAGCCACTTCCAATGAGAGATTCATGGCATTTGGGTTTACCACATCAACAAGCATCAACAAACTGTATATGTGTAAGCTCTCTTTCTCTCTCCATTTACATACACATATGTATATACACGTAATAGCAGAATGCACCGCATCAACTATATAGTGATGTACAGATAGACACCATACGCCATAAAGGATAATGTCACACACTCATGATATATACAGTACGTACACATACATACATATATATATACACACATAATACTACATGCATATGTATACATATATACATATACATATATATATATGCGCAGGATTCTACATAAATACATACTACTATATCTACACATAATACTGTGTATATATAAATATATACACATTGTACTATATGTAATATACATAATACTATATATATGTATATATATATACATTTCTGTACATATGCCATGCATAAGACTATATATACATAAGACTGTATATACATAATACTATAAATACATAATACTATATATATACATAATACTATATATATACATGCATACATAACTATATATATACATGCATACACAACTCTATATATATATATACATGTATACAAAATACTATAATATATATATATACACACATATATATATATGTACATAGTACTGTATATATATAGTTATTGTACCATATAGACTATTATGCCCACCATCACCACCATAGTGGATAAATAGTAGTATCTAGTGCAATCGGTGCTCTTTTCTTGTGAAACATATCCGGGATTTGGATGTCTATATGATAAACTATCTGTAGTTCAAGGTATATATGTATATGTCCCATATGAAAATTATTTATGATAAACTTAAAGTTTTATATTTATATTATAAATCTATTTCCTATTATAGTCTCATATTATAGCTTTCTATTTATGTCAGTTTCCATCTTTTGATATACAATCTAATATATCTATTACCATCTAGATTTAGTTCCATGTTTACACTATTTATGATACAATCTATCGTTCTATAGTTCCATATGATAGTGCCATTATTATATCAATGGTATATCTAAAACAGTATTTCATATATGGTTCTAGATATACCATGGATAATATACCATGGATTTACCATCTAATGCATCATAATTGATCCACAATATGGAACTATAGAACTATGGATGGAGCTATAAACCTGTAGATGGTAGCATATTATATGATAGTTCCAGTACAACTACGCAGTTTGTTATACGATATAGAACTAGAAAATCATACTATTATAGAACTATATAGTTAGAATAGTTCATAGCATCTTTAGTATCATACTATTATATGTCATAATATTCTAATATGGTTCCAAATATTTCTCTATCCCCCCAGCAGGCCTTCACTACGGAGCTCACGGAACAGACATATCCGGAGATCTTGAGATCCAACCTGGGCGTGGTGGTGCCATGGGCAGTTCGGATGGTGAATATATAGTGATTTACCGATCATTGGGATTGAAATATAGTGATACTATATTGGTATATATATATATATAGAGTGATATATATATATATATAGTGATATATATATATAGTGATATATATATATATATAGTGATATATATATATATAGTGATATATATATATAGTGATATATATATATATAGTGATATATATATATATACATGGTGAATTGGGATTTACCGATCATGTTCATCTTGTCCTCATCTTCCTGCTCCCTGCTGCGTGTTCCGAAAAATTTGGGATGCAAAATTCGGACAGCCCATCGGCCTGGAGATTTCAAAGTTTAGCATATACCATTGGCAATATCGTGGGGTTGGGGATATTTTCCACTGCCAAAAGGTTTTGCCGCTCCCCAGCGTCGGCCAGATTTCCAGAGTCTTTGGGATCACCATCACCCCACTGGATCGGGGAAAAATCACACCCAAGTTTGGATTCAAATGGCAAATCATATACTATTGGGTCAAGAACACCTGATTTGTGTTGAGTTCACCACAGTAGCGGAGTTGTGGACGTCTCACCTGGGAGAGTCCCTGAAACTGCGACCCAGATTCAGGTGCTGACCTTGAAAAAGTTGGGCATCGACGATTTGGTGCACTTTGATTTCTTGGATCCACCTGCGCCGGAGACGATGATGCCACGTGGCCTGGGGTCGTTTTGCATGGTGAAGAAACCAATATGAAATGAAATGCATGACAATACACACACATACGTGTATATATATATATATGTACATATATATATATATATATGCATAACACAGGATTTCTCAGCATGCCTGGCCATTTTAATAGAAATCATGATGATAAACATGTGTTTTTTTTTGGAAGTACGAATTTGGAGACAACCCAACAAAGGGCGTCGTTTTTTTTTGCTGGATAAGACTTGGTGAATAGGAGATGCTATGACAATGGACATGTTTCAAGGATAAAACCGAACTCGTTCGTACCCAGGGTTTGTATCGATATGAGGCGAGCGCTGGAGATGCTGAACTTCTTGAACCATCTCAATGACGTGCCTTGGATGGTGCTGGGTCAGATTTGCACCTGGAAAAGCCACCGATGTTACCGAAAAAGGATGTATCTTGAGAATGCGGATGTTATTTTTGGTGATGTCGACGTTGACGATGATGATTATCGATGGAATCATAATCACTATCATTCTAGTACCAGGCCACTGCTATTTTCATTCTAGCAATGATGATGATGACAGCGATGATAGTAGTGATAGTCATGCTCATGAAGATGACGACGACGACGCCGCCGAGGATGATAATTCTGATGCTGATGATGACGGTGATGACGACGACCTCAATGATAAATGATAGTGTTTCTATGTGTTTCTATCCTTTTTTTCTACATAAAGACACTATTGACACTATTGACACTGTGTCCGACCTGTGTCCAAGGACGGCGACCTCACGGATGCCGGCGACCAGGCGGCGGAGTTTCCCTTGGATCCCCAACTGGCGCCTGGGATGTGATGCCATCAGGGCGGTTACCAGCGGACAGTTGAAGTTTATGGCTACTGTCCCCAAATGAGGACGCTAGGTTAACATAGGTTAGCCAGAAAAATCGACGATGAAAATCTATGAAATGCAACATACCAATGGTATCCAATGGTAAGGGACCTGCTTTGAGAGACATTTTTGTAGGTCAGTGAACTTTGACTTATAGTCTGAAAGATAGGCTCTAGAAGAGGAACATTTCAGGAGTTTACCCAGATATTCTACAGATGGGCACGTCCAAAAGCGAGAACAACGTCCATTCCGTTCGTCCAAAACTGGTTGGTGGCTTCATTATGCTTCATTCATGTTACATGTTTTAAGCTTTCCGTTCCTCCTTCGGAATATGATCGGACATTGACACGCGCAAAACAAATACTTTGAGATGGGTCGGTTCACCCAAAAAAACAAAGATGTTGCTGTCTTCCACCAATCGTCCCATTTTGGAACCATCATTCTGCTTCCCAAGTTGTCCTACGGATATCTCTGTAAGTGCCATCAGGACCATGGTCGGGGGAGCCACTGATTCCCAGCATATCCATCCATATCCCGTTATATAATTGTCGATGCTCAAAGCAGGTGATACAACCCAGAAGTGGATGAAGGGAATACAGGTAGCCCTTCCATTGGATGGTCAGCAGTGAAGATCACGGAGCTTTGCCTATTTCCAAGGCAAAGATGCTGATCGATTCGTCCGGAACTCAGTGGAAGGCCTGCTTGTGATTGATTTCTGATTCTTAATGTGACTGTTCTAAGTTTTTTTGATTATAAATGAGAGGGTCGATTATGTAAATACCTTTCGATTGGCGAGATTCCCTACGGCTCTACATCATACCATGACCCTACGGGGGTTTGTCTGAAACTAGGGTACCCCAACATCTCATGATTTAAAACCTTCTCTTCCCCATAAGACTTGCATAGATTTGCAGGATTTTCTGGGGTATCCCCTTTTCTGGACAATCCCATCTGCTTTGTGTATATCCGTTACGTGATCGATTTATATTTATGACACTATATACCCCATATAATACATGTATATATATATATATATCATCTGATATCATATAATATAGTAAAATATGATATAATACAATATCATATCATATCACATCACATATAGACGTATATTATATAATATAGATTGTACCCACTATATTATTATGTCATATTATATATAGATACTGTGTATATCTATATACTCTATACGTATGTGTACAGTAGCCATCCGGTCACGGCCTACGGCAGTTCCTATCCGACCTAGGCCCAAATTCAAATGCAGCAACGAGATTCTGTCCATTTCCTCCATGCTCTCCGTGCCCAATGTCTTCGTGAGACCCAAGGAGTTTGGCAAGGCGCCGCCCTGCAACCGGTGCAACAGTTTTCCGAGCAAAGTAACCGATGTTTGCTGGTTACTGGTCAAATCACTATTTTTGCTGGTTAAATTCGATTTCAACGATTAAACACATTGCTTGGTATGTCACCCCCCGATTTTCGCTGATGAAATCCTGTTCTTGAGGATGAAATCCACATCCTCCGGCTCTTAAGTCCACATTTTGTGTGATGATTAGATCCCAAACTTTGCTGCCAAAATCTCCCCGAAGATATTTTTTCAGGGGGATTTCCTTCACCCTTTAGGAAGCCGACGATGCAAAGAACCGCTTCACGCACTTGGATGGTGACCATTTGACGCTCCTGAACGTCTTCCATGCGTGCCGCGGAATGGTGGTCCTTCATAGGGAATTTACCCACAAAATGAGGGTATGTAATGGAATATTAATTGAATATGAAACAATAATGGTATAATCCTTAAGCATGAACTGAATGGGGGCAAATAGCTGGTATAATGTTGGTATAATAGAGATAGAATGGAATATTACTTGAAATTAGTGGATCATTGGTGGATTTACCTTCTGGCAATAACTAACATAGCTGCTGCGATGGAAGATCAGAATTTTTGATATGTGCAAATCATCCATAAATGGGCAGTTTTCCATAGCTATGTTCAAGTACAAGAGGCTACATCTTTGGGGTATAGTTAAAACTACTGGAAACTAATGAGACATACATCCTAGGTTTGGGTCCAGGTGACTGGCCACCAGGTTTTTTGATTTCAAAAAATGAAGGCAGATTTCAGGTGAGCCATTAAAATTATAGCCTTGTTGATTGGTTATAAGGAGTGATGCTACCTGGTGATTGGGGATTATGAACCAACCCAGGGACACCCATCAACCAAGTAATTGATTTTTTAATTTTAACACATGTCATGAGCAACCATCCAACCATGTCCAATCCACTCCAAGGGGTACCTGATGACCCAAGAAGGTCCATTTTTGTTTCGCGAATTTTCGAGGTACAAGCAGTATACCACCGAGGGTGCCGACCCAGCACAGTTCTGCTATGACAGCTACATCAACTCCAGGCAGGAAACGCCAATGTTTTTCGACCTGACCATCAGATAAAAGGAACAACTAGTTCCACATTGAGAACAAAATATCATAAATGCCTATTTTGGATCATCATTTTTTTTCTAGAAGGGATTCACCACTTGAATGTTTGTTTTTGTTTTTTAATTCTAAGTCCAATTTCTGGAGTAATTCGCCCATATTCTCCCCTCGAGTGTCAGTATGAATCCCCTTCCTGGTATGGGTAGTTATACCATGGAGAAACGACGCTAGGTGAACTTTGTCATGTACATGTATTGCATAGGTACCTCCAGTTTTTGCATATACCGCAATGGTACCTCACGTAGGCGTTTCGGCTACAGTTCAATCAAGGGTCCAAAGATCTTCCCTTCAATGTACGCCATTTTGTCCGAGTTTGCGAACATCATTCTGTGGAACCTTCTCACAATGTGATGCTCCCTGACATTTAATCCCGAAGCGAACTGGGATATGTTACGGTATATTCCACTGCATCCCAGACATCAGCCGCCCGATATCACAGTCAATCACAATTTACTCCATGAACTCTAGAGATCACCCAGTCGGAACCAACTGGTAATACTTAAAAATGTGAGTTTGAATCACCCAAAAAGCTGATGTTGAAGCAGAAGGAATCATACCCCCTGTGGATCCTTTTTCGTTTTCGCAGGTCCATGAAATCTGCTGAAAACGTCCGAGAGCAGCTGAAGCGGACCATGGAGCGACTGCAGCTGCCAGGGCGCTTACACAGGGAGGTTTGACCGTTGTCATCATGTGTGAGGACAGTCCTTTCGGCAAAAAGTTAGGATCGGCCCATTGAATTAACATCCAAAAAGCTGGCATTGTATATACCTGGTATTATATAATATTTATATATACTGTAATCAACATCCACTGTTTCTTGAGTTCCTTTCAAAATCCAAACCATTTCTGGCTGCGGTACCAGAAATGACCCAGCCGCTGGTGTGCTGCCAAGGCCAATGGTGAGTACTGACTTCAGAGACAAGGCCCGTTGCGAGTTGCGAATCTGTGGTTGTTGGTGACTAAAGAATGAATAGGGGTTTAGTCAGCAAACAATCTGGTTGGTACTGTAGTTTGAGATGTTTTTGAATTTTCAACCTGAGATTTAGCAAGTGAAACATGGGGGTTTGATACGGCACCCCGACGTGGCTTTGGAGATGCAAATGGTTGGTGAAGGGCTCAATTCTAGCAATGATTGAAGGGCATATTCCAATAATCCAGACTCTTGTTGACATATTGCTGTTAACAATTAGGGGTGATAAAGTGAGTCATTTCAGCATGAACGTGAAATCCACCCACTTCACTTTGGTGGGTGCAACGACAATATATAAATCAGAGGTGCATTATGGCTCGGCTGGCACAAGCTACAAAGTGGTTAGGCACTTTGCTATGGATCAAGTATTCCCACGAATTTATTGCAAAACCCCAGAATTGGATGTTTATGATTGTTTATGTACTGATATCAAAGATTTATCAAAGTATATGAATCATGATGAATCCTCCAAGGATTGGATTTGGTAATATACCTGATAGGAACATATCAGGGTCGATGTGGCGATATAACGTATGCTCATCCCATAGTCAGACCGTGAACGGCAACGGCAACGTGGCAGGAGTACTATCCCAACATCAGCACCTAGGCACTGACTTGGGAGGTGGTGTGCACTGACTTGGTGAAGCAGTGACTTGTTGCTAAGGTTTGACTTACCATCTGGTTATTTGTGCCAAAGCCATGGAAAATCACCATTCTTAAGAACGGTAAACCTCTATAACTAGGCCATTTATACCATCGCTATGTTAAATAACCAGATGGTATTTTTGGGCATCCAATCTGGTCTATTGGTCGTTCAGCCATTAAAATGGCTGACCGTGACAAAAAACCCAGTTCGGATCTGTGGCTTCACTTTCCTTGCTGAATTAACTGGGGTGAAGTAAGCCACTTAGGATTCCTGGGAGCCCACCGCTTGGAGCCCACTCCAGATCATGAAGCGCTTTGGGGGTCGTATGAGCGTACCAGTCTCAGCGTATATATATATATAATATAAATACTGTATATATAATATGTATACATACATGTGTACATAGTTATACATACACAGTTTGAAATACACCAGTCTGCATGTATGCATATAATATACTGTATGTATCAATCCCCCTTGACCACTACTACCCTTGGGTACAGTTCCCAAGGTCCCCAGTCAAGGGTTGTGCCGAGGAAAGTGCTTGGTGGCAGGATACTTCATGCAGGTGGCACATTTGGAGAAGAGCAGTCACTACTTGACCGCCTCTTGAACCTGGATGTTTTTGGCATAGGGGCCAGCAGTGTTGTGGAAAAAAATGTTGGAAAACTTTGGGTTTAGTTTTTATTTGTGAATATTGGTGATATTTAGATCCACAGAGTGGATATCAGACCCTTTCCTCCATTTTTGGGAGGTAGCATCGGCCGGAGGTACTGTGGCTTGAATGATGGATGATTGATCTCTGGGGCTTGCAACGTCTTCACACACGCACAAAGATATATATATAATATATACAGTATATATATAATATATACAGTATATATATATACATACACATAGATATGCACGTCTGTATATATATATATATGTGTGCGCACAAGCAAATCGGTATGTGTATGCATGTTCAATTTGTTTGAAGCCCCACAGCATGGTTGGCAGCTCCCTTCGAAAGGCCGCGCGTCTTTGAGGTCCGCGACAACCAGGTGGTGGCGCTCCATCCATCTACGGGGATCACCCACAAGCCCGAGTGGGTGTCGACCTCGGACATGGTGAAAAGTGGTGCTATGGGAATTTCAGTGATACGACCACCGAAACATCTGGATTTTATTGTTTTTAGTCAGTGAACAATGGGGAATTATTTTCTGTTTTTTTTTCTGACTTTGAGGCACCATAGCGGAACATATACTATATATATACACACATGCATATACCCTCCTATTTAAAAACAGAGGGTTTTCATGGGAAAATGATCTGTAAATGGTGGATTTTCCAGCTAGCCATGTTTGATTACCGGAGGGTATCTCTTTGTCGGGACATTTTTTTTTTTCTCTCTCTCTCTCTCTCTCTTTCCCTCTCGCTATACATATCTCTCTAGATCTCTCTAGATCTCTCTAGATCTCTCTAGATTCTCTATATATCTCTAGGTCTGTGTATCCCTAAATCTCGCTATCTCTAGAATTAGTCTATGTACTATAGTCTAATCTAGTCTGGTCGAATCTAATCTAATCTAACCCAATCTGATCAAATCCAATCGCATTGTATCTTACCTTGCCTTACCTTAGTTGATCTCACTTCACCTCACCTCCTCTCCTCTCTGCTCGTCTCCTCTCTTCTCATCTCTTCTCCTTTCATTCTTTCATCCTTTTATGCTATTATATATTCTATTATCCTTCCATCCTTTCCATTGTTTGGGGACAGCAACACAGTTTTGCTTGTGCAAATGAAGATGGTAGCTTCAAACCCCAAAACCCAGGGCCCTGGATGCTCTGAGCAGCAGAAAATTGGGTTTAGCTCATTTCTCGACATGTTTAACAGGGTATATAAACGATGATTAACCAGAGAATTTGGGGGTACCCTATTTTCAGACACATCCACTTTGTCAAGTTTTGGATTTGAAAAGATTTGAAGATTAGTTTCCTACTAGGAGAAGCATTTTTTGGGTTCCTTGTTTGAGTCAGATCTTGCCCCAGTCCCCATGACCCTGAGCATTTGGAAGGTGCTGTACCACGAGTTTGTGCTGACTTCCAAGAACTTCATCCGGACCGTGACCCAGGCGCGAGCGTGACTTCGACCTGCAGAAACTCGTCGGATGGGATCCGGTGGGATCGGGGAGGTCCGCGGTGAATGGTTGCTGGAGATCGCTCCCAGCTACTACGATGTGAGGCGAGAGCAGATCTTGGGGATTCGCCTTGGTGAAGATTCGCCCAGCTGAAAACACTGAAAAATCCTGATTTCTTTTCAATTCCCGTATGTGCCTAGCTGTAATTATGATGATACCACCCCACCTGGTGCTTGCACATTGTTTTGATAGGTCAAGACTGGTTCACACCCCCATTCTTAATTCTTGCTGGTTGCATGCTTGTATTTGCACTAAGTGTTGTTGGTCATACTATGCCCTGGTAAAATTTGCAGGTCGAACCTCTAAGTGGTGACATGTCCAGTTCGTGTTTGAATAATTCTTATTGGTGACGTATGGGTTCGTCTGGGGATGGTGTACCCGCAAATTTGATTACATACACGTATATATATATATACAATATTATAGATACATAATATTACATATATATAACGTTATAAATGTATATATTCATCATTATTTTTCCTCATTCAAATGGGTGCTTTATGGGGTATTCTCTATTTGTGGACAAGTCATGGGTATCAGATCAATTTGGTGGTTGATGTATCCCATGAAATCCCATTTATATCAGCAATTTTTCTGGTTGCTTCAACCCCATGAGTATCCAACCGTGGATCCGAAGTGCCAGGAACTTCCCAAAATCCGAAGCCAGAACACAGCTCGAGCGATTGCAGGCGCGGAAAGGTGGGGGAAAGGTGGGGGAACTCTGTGACTTTGGAAAGATGGGATGTCCACCAGCGAGGGTTTAGTCAATTCAGTCAGGATTCCGGATTTTTTTGGTGGGACAAGGTCTCTTATTCATTCTTATTGGTTGCGTGGATTTTTCAAGTTTCTGTCAATCCCAAGTCTTGATCATGGGGAGCCAACACAGCGGAGGGTACGAGCACTGCAGCCATCCAGGTCATCAAACTCTTTGTCCACACTTCGTTTTTTGGAGCATAGCTCCTTTTTTCATAGGCTATATTGTGCTATGTAGACGCTATATATGCATCTATATGCTATATTGGTAGTGCTTCGACTCTCCTTTATTCTTGCGGCGTTTTCCACACGAATGCCATCAACTCAGTTTGACGGTGAGATCACTGCCAGTTGCCCAGGCCAAAAAAGGCACAGCTCAGCACCAGTGACGCCGAGCTGCGTCACCAAAAGTCGCGGCGTTGAAACGGTCATGGATGGGTGTATATATAGCCTCTGGTAAACTCCGAAAACTATGGAAAATCACCATTTTCAATAGGGATGCAATCAATAATTCTGGCAGTATGTCCATAGCTATGTGTGTTTAGATCACCATAGGATGCCTTACTCCACTTGGATTTGTGTCAAAATGAGAGACATATGGCCATATCATGGCCATTGACTAGCAGGGGAATTTCAGGAGAAACCATGGGATCGGGGATTTCCCAGCCATCGGCCTGATGACACTGGCTGTTTTTTTGGGTAGCAACGACACCAAGGGGGCGACTTCACGAAGTCTGCGTGGCAACATTTGGTGTGTTGGGACCTCAGGCGAGGACTCAGGTCCAGGACTGGAACATCACCTGAGTTCAAAATCGCCTGGTCTTGCACTGGATTTATTCATGGATCTCAATGTGATATGGATGAGATTCTATCCATTCAGTTTTGCTGGGTTTTTCTGGTTCGAACCCCATTATTTCGCAGTTCAAAACGTAGCCATTTTGGGCCCTTGACCTCCTCTGATGGCAGAGGTCAAGACGGCAGTCGGCTGCTACTATCGGGTGCCTTGGAGATGAAAAACCAAGGGGGATTCCATGGATTAATGGTGATTTTTGTAGTGGATTTATAGTGGATTTACCCATGAAAAATGGTGATTTGTTCATAGCAACATGTTAGTTTCACTGGCAAATTCTATGGAATTCTATGGAATTCTTGGATGGGTTGATCCATCAAGGGAACCATTTTGGATGGGTTTTTGATGGTTAGAACCCAAAGTGCCAAGGTTTGTTGATGGAACTTCCCCCCAACGTTTCATTGACTCCCCCATCGTCATTCCATCGGCCTCAGCTGCTAGGTACGGATGACCCTGGACAAGGTGTGCATCACGTTGGGAGCCGAAAGTTGTGATGGGTCGATGGCGGGTTGAAGAGACCTAAAAACTTGGGGCATAAAAAAACAAAGAAGATGGGTATCTCATGGGATATCACTATTCAACAGTATGCTCATGGGGATGTTCCAGTTAAAAAAAGATGATCAACAATGGGATTTTGGAGTATATAAGTATATCCTAGTTGTAGACAAACACAGATGGGGCCACCCCAAAAAAGACGAAGAGCTTAGTTGAACAGGTTTCGGGTGATCCTTTTTGGGCAAGGTTGAACATGGTTAAACAATGTAACATAGATTTACAGCACATAGTCGTTGATTTCATCATTGATTTCGTTTGTCTTGGTCATTTTGGTCTTGTGTCTTTTCCCCTCCGTGTAGCCCTGAGCCACGATGACATTCGCCCCATTTCGATTTCAGCAACTCACTGAAGTTGACGCCGATGTAAAGCAGTCCCAACTACACACACAATTCCTCTTCGCAGGCTGACATGAACGGTGATTCTGGGTGCTTCCCACATTTCAAACATATTCTGATTCTATTAATCTCAAATTGAATGCAGAAGCATGATCCTAGGTGATTTTCATATGTTTGAGGGGTAGGCTGCCAATCATGTTGAATCCTGATGGTCAAGCATCCCAAATTTTGATGCCCAATTCCTGAATTCCGATGGCCTGTTCCTGGCCAAGAATCGTTTATGAAGGTTTGTGGCATATATGAATTTGATGATTCTGATGATCTTCATCATCCCATTTGTTCCAATTTTGTATCTTCATTTTGTTTTTGTTTTTCCTAAAACAGAATTCCATTCCATTTTTTCCAACATTTCAGCCTTATTTCCATAGTTTCCAATACTTTCCGATGATTTTCATGATTTTTTATCAGCATTTTCCAAGCTTTCCATCATTTCCCAAGCTTTCCGTCATTTTTCTCGGGCATTTTCCGAGTTTTTTCCAGCGTTTCATCGTCATTGTCGGTCCGCCACCGAGGTCCTCACGGCTGCAGCGCCGGGAGCTGGCGCAGAAAGGCTTAGCGCAGCTGCGCGGTGCGGCGAAGCTGGCGGTGGAGGGAGGTGCGAAGCAGAGTGGGCGAGACGCGGTGGGGACAAGTTGGGATAGAAATGGATAGAATGTGATCATAGTCATATGGGTATGGGTCAATACCTATAGATACATTTTTAGTGGGATGAACATCCATTTACCAGCTATTTGAAGGTTCACTAGGTACCAGGGTTTTGACCCATAGCCATATTGTGATGGGGGTATGATAAGTATCTAACTATACACATGATAGAATATTAGATTAATAATGGTTACCATCCCCAGTCATCACCATTTCTATAGGTGGTATTTTTACCATTCCCAAAATGGTTGGTTTATTATTGTTTTAGCCACAGTACTGTTATTATGAGCATGATATGATAGGGATATGATAGGAAATGATATGATAGGGATGATAGGACATGATATTATAGGGATACTATGATAGGGATATTATAGAAATAATCATGGTACAATAGGGATTATGATTATAAATGGGATCATATAATGATTATCATGTCATTTCTATTGTAATTGTCATCATATTATGATAAGGATATGATTATTTAAATATACACATGATATAATATGATCAATAATGGTTACCATCAACAAATAGGGATTTTTCATGAGATTTAATGGTGGTAGACTTTTTCGGCATCTGTTTGGGATATTATGATCCCATTAGATGGGTAATTCGATTGTCAATCATCGTGCTTATGTGTATATATTGTATATGAAATATATTATACATTATAAATGGACAAATATCAATGATGCAATTTACCAACTAGATTTGGGGCATAAAACCAACCATCGTATGGGGACATGCATGGGATTCAGGATTGAATGGGAACACAATGGGACTATCCAGTGGTTTGCAGCGGTGAGCTGAGATATTTTTTTGGGGAACCACGGAGCTACTTGGAGTTTGCGAAGCACATGATAGCCTCTGTTTTATTTTGTGAACCACATCCAGATTTGATGGTTGAGAAAATGATTTTTCCAACTATTTGATGGATATTTTGGGTGTTTCCCTATTTTCAGACCATTGCCAAAATGAAGGTCCCCTTTTCGCTATTGGCTTCCTGTTGAACATTTTGACTGATTCTGATTCTGACTCTGAATGATTTGCGGTGATTTTTTTTCGGGAAACTCTCATTGGACCGTGAAATATGGGTTTGTGGAAACTTGAACATGGGTTGATTGCATTTTTGAGCATCAACTATTCTGGATTTGTCGGTCCAAAAAACGATGGGGATTTCAGCCCGCACAAATGGGATACCCGGGTTTGACGGTGAACAAAATTGAACGTGAAAAACATGGTAGGTTTGCCCATAGTTCGATAACCCGTGTAACCCGTGACGTTGGGGATATCCAACACAGCTAAAAAGAGCCAGGGCATGGGTTGGATTCCATCATTTTTTCATTGTTCCAGATCCTCAGCCCGTTAGCAGGCCATGAAACCAGTCCAATAGGTCATCCGTAAAATCAGCACTCGGAGAATGCTGCAATGCCCAGGTGGAAGTACCGATACAGTCTTGCGTGCCATGGATGCTGCAGGAGATATCGAGAAGTGTCTCTTTGGGTAGATGCTGTCTTCGACCGTTGGCAGAGCTTGGTTGGGTAGGCTTTCTTTTTGCGGTTCATTTTAAAAGAGCTATGCATTGGGTTCTTGCTGGGTGGCTGAGGTTGGCCATGCTGACTGGCCATTGACATTGCGAGAACTTTTCGAGTCCAAAATCCGACCCACATCTGGTGGTTTTGGTAACCATTTTGCCAAGAAACCTTGTCACCCGGCATTTTATGTGGATTTGTTTGGTTTGTTGGATACAACTTTCTGGATCTTGCCTTGCGCACTTCGTACATGCCATGGAAGTTCGTGAAATCGTTGACTTGAAGACTTGGTTTGCGGGACATTTTGCAGGAACTGCCTCTAATGTGGTAAACCCAAGAATAAATCATCCCCAAAATCACTAAAAATGGTTGGTAACTATCATCCCCAAATGGTAGGTTTATGGCATTTAGTTTCCCACATTATTTTTGGGATCGCCGCAGGTTTGTTCTTGCAGGTTTTCCCTGCTCTCCGCAGGAGCATCCATGAGCTACGGCGAGGTGCAGCTCTTCAGCTTGTAACTTTTGAGATATCCCAGTTGTGGGGATTCACTCAGAATCCTTGACATCCTTTCTGACTTCATTGGTAGCCATAGATTCCCCAAGTCAGAGCGAGGTGACTTTCCTGGAGTTCTCAGCTCACTAATCAATCCTTGGAAGGTATATGTTGTCACTTAAGCAGTTTTATCCCGTTCTGTCCACTAGTGAGGAATCGGCGGAAAGGGGTGACAGGTCCTCAGAAACATGGCATTGTGCTACTAAGAGGTATGGTACATGGAAGTGTGTATACATGTGCAACTATGTATATATATATATATATATTATAGTAGACACATAATACATATACATAATTACAGGTAGATACTGACATGATAGGTGGTTGCATACCTGGGAGTACCGCAAACTTTGTTGGGGCCAGGGTGGCTTGGGACTTTCCTACCAGGCAGCTGGTGGGAGGGAACCGGCCGCGCCGTGGCTGATGGTTGGTCGTGGTTTATATGACATTTATACGCTTATAAAGCCATTTATAGGGGCTTTATATTATAACTATTGCTAGAGTAGAGGTGATATCTTTGATGAATTGTTAAAAGGTTGTATCACTACAGATTTCAGCCGCGTTCTTGCACTAGCATTGAGCATACAGTTTCGGAGGCAGGGATGTATCCAAAGTGACGATAATAACGTAGCCAAGGATTCTACGTCGGCCCAAGACTGCTTGAAATTACTGTCGGAGAATGGTACCTCTATATGAGTGCAACATGATGCTACCCTAAAAAGGATATATGTATGTATGTACATATATATATACATATATACACACTGTATATATATATAATATAAACATACATATATATATATATAAAGACATTTAAACTCTTGGAAATGGCAGCCTTTCCATCTGAAGCAGCCTTTCCGGTTTGAGAAAATC